AAAGCAGTCAATTATCAACATTGTGACTGTTTCCAGATATTAATTTGTGTTTATAGTTTTAGGAGACAAAAATTCCCATACCGGGAGTCGAACCCGGGCCGCCTGGGTGAAAACCAGGAATCCTAACCGCTAGACCATATGGGAGCTGGGAGATTCAACAGCACATGAGCTATATCAACCCTTACAGCAAGGCTGAACTATTACATAGTAATTGGATCATCCAGTTCAGCTCCTATTTATCAATAAGATCCAACACCTCTTTGGTTTCAGACGTCAGTCTTTCCTTTTGAAAATAATTCTCTCCTTCATTTCTCATCTTTATAAATCTCAAACCATTACATGATGTTACAATCAACATTATGAATTAACTTACAGAGTTCACAATATTTATAATCGTAATAATAATGCAGCAACCAGTTGTGCACAGCAATGTCCCACAAGCAGCCATAGAGTGAGGGACCAATGTTTTTAATGTGAGGGTTTGTCGACCAGGACCCTGGAGAAAACTTCCTTCTTTTTTCGAATTGCGACATGGAATCTTTAACATCCACCTGAACAGGCAGGTGGAACTTCGGTTTAACGTATCCTCTGAAGGACGGCACCTCTGACAACGCAACACACTCCTTGCACTGTTTTGTTGGAGTTTCATCTTGGACTATATGAATCCAAGCCCCGCGTGGGGCTTGAAGCCACAATCAGGCTCATGTATAATGCCTTAAGCACCCTGGAATACTGACTGTACAAGCTGAATATCGACCCTGTCCTCAGCTTAGTGGAGTCCTGTCGCATATTAGTTAAGGCATTCACCTCGCAAACGGGAGGACTGGGGTTAAATTCCTGGGCAGGGTGAAATCTTAGGCAAGTTTTCTTACTCCACATGCCCCTGTTTACCTAGCAGTAAGTAATAACCAGTTGTTAGTCGTTTGGCAGATTGTTTTTTCAAGGGTAATATTCTCTCCCCCAATCCACAAGTATTTGTGGGACACTGCGTATGCAATTGGCTGAGTTTCTCCCATAAAATCTAGTCAATTCGCTTTACAGTATATTCTGCAAAGCGCTTTGAAACATCTTGAAGATATGATAAGGCGCTATATCAAAATGCAATCATTATTATTACTACAATGTCAAGCTGTTTCTTAGTGTTTAAGAACTCTCAATATATTTTCCTGCAAATCTGAAACTGGATCCATTTTTTTCTTTAGGCTGTCAGATTGGCACAAAGATAGAGGTAGTGATTAGATGCCACTTCTTCCCATAACTCCAGAACTCCATATCCTGCATTTTCTCCCACACTCTTCCCCAGCAGATTGACTTTAAATTCCTCATCATTACCCTCAAATCCCTCCATAGCCATCCATCATCCTGCTTCTGCAATCCCTGCCCTCTCCCTTCTCTCCACTGACTCTGGCCTTCTTCATATTCCTCACTCACTCAGCCCCACCAACACAGGTGATTTGTCAGCCACTTTTTCCCACACTCTAGCCATTAGTTTCAAACCATTAGAAACACAGACTTACATGTAGAATTAGACTGTTGTGCAAGGTTCTACAATGGAAAGGTTTGCAGAGCTAAATTTGTTTTGATTGGGAAAAAAATCCAGATCTAAGAAGGATTAGAGGCAATAGATGATATAGATAATATAGAAGCATACAGATGTATAACTGATATGAGCATAGATGTATCATAATAATGTTAACAGCAATAATAATCCTTACATTTGGTACACTACCTTGCGCAGCAGAAGGTGCCAAAGTGCTTCACAGGATATCTTCTATAGTGGAATGATTGTATTTTGTGGACGAACGTGGCAGCCAATGCCCACAAACAGCAATGGATGATTAATTTGGGTGATTGTTGGTGAGGACACCAGGGAAAACTCCTCTTTTTGAATAATCCCATGGGACCTTTGATATCCACTTGAATAATACCTAATCCCTAATCCAAAGAATTACACTTGCAAAAATGCAGTACTGCTTTGGAGTGTCATTTTAGACAAAGTGGAGCTTGAACCCATAACCTCAGGCGAGAGTACTACCAACTGAGCCAATCTGACACGCAAAGTTAATTTAGATAGATATAAATGAATAGATACTACAGATGTGTAGACTATCTGGATTTATAGATGGAAGACTTTTTGGCTAGTAACCTGCAAAAGGAAAACAGATACATTTAAAATGAAAGATTCAAGTGGGACTAGAAGCGATTAGATTATTTTGAAAAAAAGGCAATACTACAGATGCTGGAAATCTGAAATAAAAACAGAAGTTGATGGGAACACTCAGAAGGTCAGGCAGCATCTATTGAGAGAAAAGTGAGTAAACATTTCACGTCGATGACCTTTGTCAGAACTGATTAGATTATTTCCTTTCAAGATTAGTGAATATAGTATATGGAAGACTGATAACAAAAACAGTTAATGGTGCATTTATTAACTTCTTAAAGAAACAAAGTACATAATAAATAAATAATAATAATAAAAGTACATAAGTGTCTGATTTAAAACAGCAATGGAGAATGTAAGAGTGTAGACTGAAATTAACAAATATTCAATTTGTCACAATGATTTCTGTATACTGTTGGGGATGTGGACTTCGTAGAAATGGGGACCCACAAGTTTCCTGATAACTTGTTTGATCACAAGTTGGTCACCTAGTTGTCATTTTCTCAAGTGGAGAATAAACAAAACATCAAATCTTTGGTTTCAGAATATCAGTGCAGAACTTTCTCTCAGGTGAAAGGCTCATGAAGCCTAGTGCTGAAATCAGCCTATCAGCCCCATCCTCACCTGGCTCCCTATCCCAGAGAGTTCAAGATCCTCATCCTCACTTTTAAATTCCTCCACGGTCTTGCCCCATTGTATTTTTGTGACCTTGTAAAATCCTACCATCTCACCTGCTTCCTCCCTCACAGGCACTGGCCTGCTTCACATCCCGATCTACTCGCCCCAACATCAACTGTTGTGGTTCCAGCCTTTCTGTACTTCTCTCTGGAACTCCAACAGCAGCAACAACAACTTGCACTTATATAGCACCCTCCATGTAGGGTAGCGTCTCAGAGCGATTGACTCCATCGCGGAGTTCTTTCACCTTGCTCCTTCCCTTGCTTCATTCAAGGCCCTTCTCAAACCCTTCCTCTTTGGCCACAACTTCAGTCATCACCCCCCAACCCCCTTGGCTCCCTCACCTCCCAAATCCAACCTCCAGCTTGGGTTCAAACCCTTTGTACAGAGCTTTTGGACATCCTTCTGATGTGATAGACACAATATAAATGCATGTTTATATAAATGTTTGTTGGATATAGTTGGGTAAGTGGGTTTAAGTTGTTTTGGGTAAGTTTTAGGTGTCTGTAGTGTTAGAATTTACACTTTTTGTATAATGTTAGAATCATAATAGATGTTGCGAATGGGTTAACTTTTAAGTTAAGTGTGTTGCGGGCAGCTGGACTGAAACTCCCTGCACGTACACGAGATAACGGACCGTCTCAAGGACAGTGTGTTTGTGTGCTGAGGCACGTACACCCCATGAGATGTTCACGTGAACCCAGCATGATTTTGGCCAGGTGATCTAATGTCCGCACCATGATTGGATGGACACAAGCTTAAGACACCGTGCCAGACCAAGATCGGCGCGCGCCCAGGACAGTACCTACCGTGGATGGAAGACTGACACCTAGAAGACAGAAGTAGACGACCACGAGGAGGAATTACGCGGTAGTATTGTTCTGTTAGTAAATTGATTGATTGTGCTTACTTGCCCACGCCCATCGGGAACTTGGACGGATCCTGGAGTTTAATAAACACTACTCTGGTTGCAAACAGTGGTTGTGTTTGATTGGAACTCGAAAAGAAGATTTTACTTTCCAACAGTAGTACCAGGCTCGAATAGATTGCTTTGTTTTCACTCCATGCTTTTTGTTCTTAATATAACCGTCTCCATCTCCATTTCTCTACTGAAGTAGGCATTGCTATATTGCAAGTTTGCTTGCTGGCATTGCACCAGGCTGGGGTGAGGAATTCACTGCATGAAATAACAAGCACATTGTGACCTAAACATTTGCTATACCGTGAGTGAAACTTTACTTACTTAATTGAATGATTCAATTATCTCTTTCTTAGGTCACTGTTGCATATGGAATTCTGGTGATCAGTATTGCTGGTGGATGCTTATATGTCTTCTGTAACATAACTTGCTTTCATCACATCCAGCTTGACAATGTTAGTGCCCTGTTCGCCAGACTCCCAGCTCCTCCCTACACAGAGTGCAGACTATCTAGATCTATCAGCTCCCCATCCTCCAGCAAATCAAGTTCAAGATCTTCGGTTACCTTCAGATCTCTCCAGTTTAGCTCCACTCTACCTCCAACCCTACTGACCAGGCCACTCCATTCGCACACATGGCTGCTTTATGACCTCTACAACCTGCAGGAGGGCTTTCAGCCAGTTAAGCCCCACACTCTGCAACTCGACCCAAAGTCCCTGTGAACTCGCTTCCTCCCTCACCTTGTTCAACTTCCAGCTCAAGACATACTTCTTTGACTGCGCTTTCAGTTATCTTTCTGCTCCTCACCCACTCCGGCTCCAACCCCCAGCGTGGGTGCTCAGCCAGCAATGTTAAGTACTTGAGATGTCCTCCTAATGTGAAAGGCGCTATGCATTTATATTTGTAATTTGCAAATGTAAATTGTATAACTCAAAAAACTGGAGCAAGAATTTTTTTTTTAAAATGCTATATGTTTGAAATAAAACACATTTTAATGTTTAGTGGTCTTACTATTACTGCAATAGATCAATTATCATGTGTTTAGAAAATCTATTGCATTGCAAAATTGTCACTTTAATATATCTATTAACAAATCTGAGGCAGGTCGAACATACGTGACAATGTATTAATTACAATTAATGTCTCAGCAGTAGCAAATTTTATACCAAAGCTGATATTTAGTACACAGACGTAAAAGTAAATGGGGGGAAACTACACAAATAAATAATTTATATGATATAATACACTTGTAACATTTAATGTAAGACATTACAACATAGTAACATGATGAGTGACAGAAAACGCATCTTAGTTGCATTAAATGCAGAGCATATATATATATATATATATGAGTCCACAATACTGTATATTGAACATACATGAGACACTGATTAGAACACAAATTACCAGTTAAAGTAGCGACTTCCACCTTGTATAATACCTCCCAGCTTTGAAAACACCAACTATCAAATTTCCAGACATCTCCAAACCATATCAAAGCTATTTTAAATTTTAAATGAGTTTTAACTGGACTTAATGTTCCATTTTGATCAAATAAAAGAATATTAATCTCCAAGTTTATAAAATTTGAATCGTTTACAATATTGCACTGTAGTTTAAGATAATAGACATAAGGCATATATTGATGCAATTCTCAAGTGGTCTTTAAAAGTTTTTGAAATTCTTGAACACATGACTAAACATTTCAGGAGTTAATTATTACAGCAATCATTAAATGTCTTAAAATACATGTTTAAGAATCCAAGGATACAAACAGAAGCAAATGCTCATCTCCACATACAATGTGTTACGAATTACACTTCTTTAGTAGTAAAATAAATAAACTTTAAGGTACATTGAGGCTATCATTTCTAAGATTTGAAACAAATGTATAGCTACAATTTAGAACCTTATATTTTGTGATCTATTTAAAGCAAATCCATTATACAAATTTAACACACAGGTGCAATTCTACTTTCTGCCACAACAAAGCAGATTTTCTCTCTATTAGTGCTTCCAGGTAAGTTAAAGTACATTAAACAAAACAATGATTTTTGTATATTGAATAAAAGTATTATTTCTGTAATACTGTATTAGTGGCAAGCCCTAATATAACACCAGGGAATTTTTTTTAAAAAAACTTTAAAGCTAAGGAAATATGTCTAAAATAGATCACCTCATTATGCACTATGTTGCACTAGTACCAAATTAACCTGATAGATTTACATGTTTCAAATAGTTTGTTGATTAAATAACTATAATAAAATTTTCCTGGTGCAGCACATCTCAAAATTGTAGTGTACTTGTTAATGGTTGTGCAATTTTCTAAATGGTACATATATAGTTGGTTTGATTTAGAACTGTACAAAAGAGACAACCACTTTGTAGAGTCTTCATCATTCTTCAAATCAGATATCCTCTACACTGCACCATTGGCTTGAGGTCCATGCCAGCAATAGAATGCTTTTGAAGCTCTCATACCCAGCGTCTGACAGAGTGCGTAAGAAAAGCCTCATCCATCACTGTTCACCTTGTTTTAATGCTGCTCTGGCTTTGGAATGAGTAGTGAATCTTTATTGAACTAGAGGACAGGTTCTACACTTGTCTATAGTTTTTGGAATTTACAGATGGACTTAGTCTTTGTCACAAAGGCGTATAAATAATGAAAACTATTCTCTAAATCTGATCCAAAGACCCAACATTGTCTTACATGCCATATGAGATTCATGAGGGTGTTGCTTGAGGTCATATCAAAACAGAGGTGATCATATCTGTGGCTTTCCCAATATTTTGGTGCTTGTGCAGATCATAATCAACAGTAGACAATACATATCATGCCTGTCGTAACTACCTCTATCAGTAGCATTGGTCAGTGCCCTGGTTGCATGCCTTCCACTGATGGTTCATTGCGAACATTTATCCAACTTACAGGTACAGGATTATCGGAGAGGCACACATCTGCTAAAGTTTCAATTTTTGACCAATTATGATCTTTCTTTGAGGTAAGATCAATCAAGTAGGATCGCCAGTGAGCATTCCTGTCGTGAACCTACAAATTCAAAACACAATGTTCAGAAAGGTGAGTCAATAATTAACTTTATGTAACAGTTCATTTATCTACAGTTTACTATTGAACCATCAATTCAATCAATTCATTTTCGGAAGTGCTCAGCATGAAAAGACAAAAGGAGACATACCCGATTAACCTTCTATTTAGCACAGAAATCATTTTGTCATGCTGTAGTACTTACTAATTTCAATTGGTATCTACCCTTATGTTAGACTAATATTAACCACATGCTTCTCTAGTTTATTTTTGAACAAGTTCATCAAAAGTGCATCAACTGCTTGGAATTTGTTCTACATATCCACGTTTAACAAAAATTAAGTGCAGTATTTACATGTGGGAATAGCATAAAATAGTATAATTTAAAATGTCATCCAATTTTAAAATTACAATTTTCTGTATATCCCTCAACTGCTTCGCTCCACCATCAGTGGCCACATTTTCATTGACTAGTCCCCAAACCTCTGGAACTCCCTGCCTCAATGCCTCCCCACCTTACCCTCTCTTTGCCTGTCTTCCGATCACACCTGAACTTTCCTCTTCAACTGTGCCTACGGCCCTTTCTTCCTGGCTCAGTGCCAAACTGGTCATTGTTCAACCCAGATGCTACCCTGCATGAAGGCCCGTATATGTTGTTGTAAAGTTTACACTTAAACCTATGTTGGTCAATAAGGTAGTATTTAGATGAGTGTTTCTCAAAAACCTTAAGCTTAATTGCTGTCCAAATATAAATTTAGAAGATGCTTGTAATACTAGACTGGGTTCAATAGTAAATAATTTTACTTCGTAACATTTGAGATGAATTTTTCAACATCTTAATAAATTCAGTGTTCTCAGCAAGCAATTGCCCTCCTGCTTTGTCAGCTGAATATTTAAATGCAATGTACTGTTATTGTTGATTAATCTTAAATTCCTGATCTCACTGTGGTTGCTAGGTAACCTTTGACCAATTTTGTGCTATTGTTTGTATAAATGTCAACAATATGGATTCATTTTATTACAATAAACTACAGAGGTTATTTGATTAGCTAAAATCAGACAAAAATGCAAAACTCTGATATCCCAACCTTGAGGAAATGAATTTTTAGCTAGATCAGCATCAGCCTTTCCACTTACAACATGAAGGGTCAGAACTATATTGTTGAAATGACTCCTTGTTTCGATGTAGACATTGAAAGGTACGACGGCTTGTGCAGTGTCCACTACATTAATTACATAGAATAGGAGGCTTAGGAAGTGGGTTGGCTCTACTGAAATTCAGTCTTAAGAGGAAGTGACTGCCCAAACAAATATATTCTCTATTAAGCACAGTCAATGAAGATGCTGATCCACTTAACCCCGAGTGTTACGAGATATTTCCAAGGTTTCCTTTAAACAAATAAGCATCTATTGCTTCAGCATTCACAATACGGAAGCTCTTACCGATACGTGTCTTCTCAAAGTGGACATATCTGTGAAGGTCCGCTCACAAGCCTTGCACTTATAAGGCTTCTCCCCAGTGTGAATACGCTGGTGACGCCGCAGTGCCCCCTGCTGGGTAAAATCTTTTCCACACTGTTCACAGAAATATGGACGTGTTTCTGTGGAGAATAAGATTAAAATAATTAAATGTAGACTACACAGAAAGAAAATCATTCTTATTTTCATGCTTATTTCCCTCCTCCCCCAAGAAAAACAGGATTCTTTCAGAATATAAAGTCTTTGTATAAGTTACGTAGGCATTTTGGAAAACAAATGTTTCCCCCACAAAATAATCAATCCACTTTACAATATATTCTGTGAAGTACTTTGAGAATTCTCAACAATGTGATAAGACGCTATATTAAATGAATAGGTGATTATCATTATAACAGAAAGCATTTAGGACCGCACAATGAAATAGAGGTCCACCAGATCATTTACCTCTGGGTTTGCTACACACCTGCATGGATATTTCTGTGTTGAGCGAAAGAGGCTCTTAAGCCAAAACTCTTTCCACATACGTTACACTTATAAGGTTTGGCTCCCATGTGACATCGCTTGTGACACTTCAAATACTCATTGGTAGCAAAATGTTTCCCACACACATCACACCCAAAAAGGCGTTCACCTGTAAGATAAACCCAACATTATTATTGTTATCACTTAAAGGGTTTCTGAGGTAATTACTATAAGGATTTGTTGCAGAAAAAGGAACTGATCAGTATTTGATATCAAAATGAAGTAACTGGACAACACTGAGAGGATGATTATTCCTGTTCTGAAATGGATCTGAGGATCCCATCCATGTTATTTAACTAAATTAGAAATCAATACCCTGAGACTTTGTGATCCTTTTGGAGTATAAATATCTCTGGGATTAATTCATCTAGGGGCAGATATTGCTTGCTATTGACTAGCATTTTTTTCCTTGCAGTATTAGATTGTGCTTTTGCACAGCTCACTACTATTCTGCATGGAAGGTGCTGTAATATTGGCTCCACTGAACTAAGAAGAGATGAGTTAATGATGGAATTCAAAGCTTCACAATCTGTACATGTCAGATCATGTGAATTTTGTGATATGTGACAGCTCTGATCAAATGAAAAACAAATGGAAAGGGACTTCTTTAAAAATAAAATTTCAATAAAAAACTGATTAAAATAACTACTGTATAGTAAAACTGGATGGTGGTCAGAAAGTGAGATCAGTCATTTGGCACATAGTGCACAGGTGGTGACGTCAGAGGTGACTGACAAACCAGAAGTGGTCTGGCAACCAGTCCCCATTATAGTGGCAATTCTGAGTTTGTGGACACAATTCCCCCACATTATAACATGGTCGGCCTGTCTCATCTTGCTTTTGTAACTTGAACATTTCGACAATTGTATGAAAAAATAAAATGGAACATTAACATTTTCAATGTTTCATAAAGTATTTATCCAAGTGTTAAATAACAGCTTTACAGAAAATGTATTCTATCTAGAAGATTAAAAACCTCAAGAAACTGGTCAGTGGTTAAATGTTGCAATCAAACCTGACACAACATTCATCTCCCAAGTCTGCATGTTGCAGAAGAAAATAAATTACTATGAAAATTGATTGGGTACTATCGAGTGGATATAAATTATTAACCTTGAAATCAGAATAGACTAATCATCAGCCCGACTGTAACAACTCCATACATTTATGTGACACCATTTTCTTATGAAGAGATGGAGAGCCTTGAATACTCTTCAGTTACTCACATATGACAACTTTTCACAAAGTTAAAAAATAGTTTGGGCAGACTGACTGTTTCTTACCAGTGTGTGTCCTCTTATGACCATTTAGTTTAGCTTTATCAGTAAAACAGGCTCCACAGTCCTCACAAACATAGGGTTTTTCTCCAGTGTGTGACCTGAAATGAATGCAAAACCAGTCCAAATTTTAGAACCTTGGTTCAGATGATACTATCACTATTTCCATATCAATAGATAATTAAAAAAAAACACCAAAAATAAATCAAGATTATGGACAATTTATGGACAAATAATTCTAAATATTAAGAGTAATCAAAATAGATAATGTAAAAACCATTATCTAAGTAAGATAATGTTAATCACTTAGTTTAAAAGTATATAAAATAAGAATATCATGCCAAAAAAACTTTTTTTTAAGGATTACTGTGTAGAAGTTTAGGCACGTGGCTCACAATCCTGTGGTTAGTTTCAGAACTGTCCGTGTTACATAGAAATGCGAGTAGTTAAGTGGCCGTGACACTACCCCGGGAGAGGATACTATATAAATGCAAGTTGTTGTTGTAGTACTTTTGGTTCTCACAGTTTGTTAAATGATGGAAACAATTAATGGGCAGTCACTCCAGAAAACAGGCTGCCAATTCTAATTGCTACTGATACAAATGTGGAGAATGCAAATGCTCAGCTATCCTTTCAGCAGAAGAGATTTGATTAAGTGACAACATCCTTACCGAGCCTGCTCACCCTTCCTCTCACCAGGAGAGGCTGAGTACAGATTCTACTCACCCATCCTCTCACCCACCCATCTGTGTTGGCCAACAAAACAAATATTTCTTGATTGAATATTTCCTGATTTATGGCATAAATCTATGCTATTTTGTTATTTCTATTATTATTTTGTTGGCCACCACTGGTGTAGATAATACTCACTCATCCTCTCACCGGGAGAGACAATCTCTGGACCCTACTCACTCAGCCACTCACCAGGGAAGGCTGTGTAGAAAGCCCTCTCACTATGGTAGGATGTATATAAAGTTCTCTCACCAGGGGAGGTTGTGCATAGACTCTGCTCACTCCTATCAGAAGTAGAAGTCAGAGCCTACAAGTTAGAAATAAAGTAGGTGAAAATAATTAAACTCAATATAAGTAGGTGACCTTGTGTGAATTTTCAATTGTGAAGGCTGGGCAAATCGAGAGTGGCAAATGGAACATTCATAAGGCTTTTCTCCAGTGTGTGTCCGCATGTGAAACACAAGAGCTGTTCTTGAGCTCAGAATCTTGCCACAAACCGAGCACAGGGGACGTTTTATACGGCCCTCATGCTTCCGAGCGTAGTGAGTTCGTACATCTCTTTTTCTCTTAAAAGTTGCATTGCACAGAGTACAAGCAAAGTGCCTTTCATCGCTGTGAACACAAGCACAATGCTCTTTCCAACTGTTTTGTGTGGCAAAGGCCTTGCCACAGATGTCACAGTGATAGACTTTCCCTGGTAAGGACTGGTGAACATCTTTGCAGTGAATCACGTAATCTTTTCTGGAATCAAATTCGTGATCACATTTGTCACACTTAATGATGTGATTAGATTTGCGTGATCTTCCTCTTTTACTTGACGTCTTTGGTTCAAAGTCCTCATCAGAATAATTTGGTTCACGATCTTGGTCATTCGCATCGTCTTCATCTTTATAATTACTGTCGTCCTCATTATCTGTGCTGTTGTTTTCATCATCGTCCACCTCATACTCTGCATCGTCATCATCATCTTCATTGTTTTCAAAATCTTCCTCCTCTCCACTATCCTCTTTGTGCTTAACATGATTGTCTTCATTATTCAGTGGACTATTTTGTGCATTCTCAGTCTCTTTACCCTTCTCTTCTTCCACTTCATTGCTATTTCTGCACCCCATATCTGTATCAGACGTACTTTGTTGCTCCTCTTCATCACATGTTTCTTTATTATCACTTACATCCATGACCAAGTCATTATCCTCTGATCTATCCCAAGTCTCCTTGGTACGACCGGCATCCATGACAAAACCAGCCACGTCGTCTGATTTATCTACTTGGGGCACTACTTTCCAATACATAAATGGTTGTTTCTTTTCTTGACCAGATTCATGAATCTTCCTACAAAAGAAGAATGAATTCAATTAGAAGTTTCATTTTGTTTGTAATTCAAAAATGAAATGGTTTCCCTATGCCCATTTATGTTTATTATAACTAATAAGTCAGTGATTTGGATCAACTAAATTTATGTAACATAAATTTACATTAATTGAGCCATTTGAGAGGAGTTCAGAGAGCTGTTTAAAATTATGAAAGGGTTCATTAAGGTGGACAGAAATAGAGGTGGAACGTGTACATGTATAATCATATAATTATACAGCACAGCCTATCGTGTCTGTGCTGGTTGGCTCTTTCAAAAAAGCTATCCAAATCAATCCCACTCCCCCACGCTCTCTCTATAACCCTGCAAACTTGTCCTCCCCAAGTAATTATCTTTAAAAGTTGTTATTGAATCGGCTTCCACCACCCTTTCAGGCAATGCTTTCCAGATCCGAACAACTCACTGTCATTAATGTGTAATGATTGCAGCAGAATAAACAGTTAACCTAAGGTTCTGTCTGCCCGGTCAGGTGGACATTAAAGATCCCATAGCTATTCAAAAGGACAAGGGAGGTTCTACCCTATCCTGGCCAACAATCTTCCAGATACAAAAACTGTTCATTCACTTCATGGTTGCTTGTAGAACCTTGCTGTGTAAAATAAATCACTGGTCACTACACATTTCCATGAACTCTGTGAAATGTTTTAACCTGATATGGTGCTAATGCAATCATTATTATTGGAGCATCCTCTTGTGGAACAAGAAGCCATTTATAAGTATATATGATCTTTGATAAGAAATCTACAAGAGAAACAGAAGTCTGACTAATTAAAATACTTGAACTGTGCCATTTATAGCATGTGGTAATGACACCATCATACCATTAATACTTTCAGACGTGCAAGGATTAGATTCTGATGTGTATCAAAATCAGCCGCTAGAGTCCTGAATGACCCAATTGCACTGCAATGTGAAAATAAGGAGCTTTTATACAATATTTCATGGATTGAAAGTCTATGGACTTAATCTATGGATTTTTATGTCCCATTCAACTGAATTGCTACAGGACAGTGATTAGTAGGTGCAATGTGCATTCACGGCACATAGAATGCATCATCTCAAATATTTAATAAGGAATTCATTTCAAATGTCATTTGGTTGGCTTATATTTACTTGGCTCATATTACTAGAATTACAGCTTGTACAGCACCGAAACAGCTTCCAGGACTGTTTCTTTATCTTACCATCCTTTGAAAAAGTTCCACCTAAACACTTTTTAGAACTGCTAGTTGCTATCTTATATGTATGCCTCCTTGTTATGAACTCATCAATAAGTGGAAACAGTCTATTTATGTCTACTTATCAAACCCTTTCCCAATTTTAGATGTTACCGCAGGAAGTACATATTTATACCTAACTCGATATTCATTTGAAATGGGATTCTTAAATAGTGACTTTTTCAAGTTAAATTTAAGTCAGTGTAGCCATTCTTGTACAGGGGAATAGAGGTCCTTCAGTCCAATAAGACATTCAAAAATAACTAATTTCTATAATATTGTGCTTCGGGCACTTTGCAAAGATTAATGTAAACTAAAATAATGAGTTTTTGCCACTTGAGGTTCTGAGTGAACTGTATAAAAACAGTAATAGTCAAGGGTTTGCACCCAATCTGGAATTTGATTTATTATACAGAGGGTGGTGGTGGAGGTGAAGGGGAAGATGACCAAAGGCATGGTCAAAGAGGAAGGTTTTGAAATGGACCTTGAAGGAGACAATTGAGGGGCAAGATGATGGGACTCTGGGATGGAGTTCCTGAAAGTGGGGGCAGACAAGCTGAATGCCTGACCATTGATGGTAGGCCAGGCAGGATGGGGGATGTGAAGCAGGCAAGTACCTGCCAAGCGGAGGGAAGGAGTGGGTTGGTAGGGTTTAAGAAGTTCACAGAGGTAGGGTGTGACAAGACTGTGGAGGGATTTAAAAGTGAACACGAGAATCTTAAACTCTGGGGGATGGGGAGCCAGTGGAGCCAGATGAGGATGGAGGCGCTAGACTCAGAAGTGGAGATGGGAGGGGGTGGCAGTAGCAAGAGGCAGCAGCACGGATCTTTTCGATTAGCAAATCCATCAACTCAGTGCATTTGGAGTTGGAGAGGATGGGCAAGGCATGGAAAGGTGGGTAAAGCTGGTTTGTGGTGAGGAATAGCCTGACGTTGTACTTGGCCTCCAGGTTGAACATGGAGTAGGACGATTTAGCTGCGACAAGGGCGGAGCAGTACGTTTTGATTCAGTCTAGCCAAATCCGGTGGTGATCCATTAGTGGAATCCTGCAGCCTACTGGTTAGAGTACTTGCCTCGCAAGCGAGGACCTGGGTTTGGTTCCCGGCAGGGCGAAACGTTAGTTTAGTTGCTCCACATGCCTCTGTTTACCTAGCAGTAAGTAGGAACCCGGTTGTTTGTTGATTGGGGTATCGCTTTTCAGGTGGGTAATAATCACTTCAAAAATAGAATTCACATTTTTTTTAGCTGCACGTCCCCCACCCCACCTGGTCACTCAATCATCAACTGTTTGTGGAACACTGCTGTGTGTAATTGGCTGCCACAATTCACTTTACAGTATATTCTGTGAAGCACTTTGAGATGTCTCGAAGACATTATAAGGTGCTATATTAAATGCAAGAATTATTATTAAGTTGTATTTGAGCCAGGTGCAGTCAGAGGCACGCACCTGTGACTTGAGGGAGCAGAGGTGGCTGGCGTACAGGCGGACTTGCAAGAATAGTACAAGGCAGTGCGGGACGTGATGAAGGCAGGATGTTAAGGATATTAGTGTGAGAGTTATGAAGGAGGTAGAGTCGTTGTAGGAAGAGGGCAGGAGTCTGGACAATTCAAATTTACTTCACATGTTCCTCGGAATCCCTTCCCCCAAAAATGTCTCCACTGTGGCCACTTCCAAATCTAGTACATTCAACAATCAACTGGTAAAGTAAAAGTCATATAAGTCATATCACTCAGGACCATAACATTAATATGACTTGCATGAAATCCGAGTTGCAGGGAAACTGTATAAATTGTATAAAATCTGATTCAATCAATAATCTGCACTGTGCATATGTATTTCAATGAAGCCGATAAGTTCGCTTGCAGTATCGTCAATACAGTAAGTGCGCATGTGGTACTGTGATTCGTTACTGCAGCTAGCAAGTGCACATGCAGTGACAGATTACATTTCCTGTGCTCAATGCGTCAACCCGCTGCCACGTGCACAGTTACCAGCAAGCACTGGAATCACAATGAATCGCAGGCAATAAAGTTATTCTGCGCATGTGTGGACAGATCAAGACTATGTTTCCTGCGATTCAATGCAGTTGGCCAGTAAGTGCGCATGTGTTGACGGGTCAGGATCATTTCCCGCGATTCAATGCAACCGGTAAGTGTAACAGTAATAAGGATAGGGGATAGTAGAGTGGGAGTTAGGAGATGATTCGTATAAGTAGTACAAAGATTTTGATAGGAAACTGACTCGGGTGAATGTACGACTTAGGCCATTATACGATTTACAAAAATAAAAGCTATGCAAGTTTTACTGTAACTCATCTTTAAAATAACTACTACAATATTTACTATGTCACAAAATTATTTGGCACAGTACTGTTTCCACAGTGCACATCAATCCAATACAATTCACATATGGAAAACATACATAAAAATTAATGGTATATTGGCTTGTCTCGATATCAACGTTCACACTGGGAAGACTTTTAATTATCCTCTCTTCCATATTAGAATTAATGAGGCTTTCATGCTCTCCACAGATGTCGCATTTTGTGCCCTCCACAGGTATCCTAGTTTACACACATCAAACTGTGGTATAACGAGATACATAATTATCTTCTTTCAAGAATGAAAACACAATTTTTAATCAAGTCCAATTGTAAAAACAGTCATTGACTCAAATCTAATGTGAATGTGGTTAAGAAAGACAATTTCTGGTTAAAATTATCAATTTAATTTGCCAGCCAATACGTATTTTTTTCTCCTTTCCAGTCTCAGAATCAAATTTAAGAACTTTTAAAAAAAACTTTTCTCTATTTATTTGACGTTTCCAACTGACCTCTGCAACTAACCATACGTATTGCATAAGGAGATAACAGTATAGGTTACTTGCCAAAATACAAGGCAAATAGTGGTCACATGAGGCAGGATCAAACATATCAAACGTATGGCAATAGAACCACTGGACAGCAGGACCTTATACTGTAAACACCATTGACCTGTCAACATAATATAAATAAAACATAAACTAGAATATTACATAGCAGTATGTGTTGAAGGTTTGTAAAAACTAGTCCAAGAAACCTCTAACATCTTAAAGCATAATCCCATATGCATATCTTGGCTTTGAAAAGTTTGTAACTTGCTCGGGCTGCTTTATTTATAAATATACTGAACTTAGTGTTGTTTATTTCACGAGTGCTACCAATGCTGATTAAATATTATTGAGTCTTGCTGAAAGGTTCGACCATATTACAGGGTCTTCAATTCTCCAGATTCCAATGAGAAATCTCTGAATTTTAAACAATGAAGACTGTGGAGAAATGGATGCATTACCTAACACCTCCTGAATTTTTTTTCTACCAGGATTTAGAATACTATGATAATTCTTGACACTAATCTCCTTTACAAAATCATGCAATTTGGATTATGTTTTTTCATAATACAGTACAAGGAAGTAAACCTTTTGAAAAAGTCAAACAATGAGATGCTCACAATTATATAATACCTTACGTGAGTGTTGTAGGCAGACCGCTGAGCAAAGCTCGCTGGACAATATTGGCATTTGTATGGCTTTTCTCCTGTGTGTGTTCTGATGTGAACTGTCAGTCCACACTTGGAACTAATAATTTTGTCACAATAAGGGCACGTTTGTGGAGTCCTTTTCTTCTCATGCACTCTCCTGACATGATCATTAATATCTTTTTGGCGCTTAAATCGTTTGTCACATAAAGAGCAGGCAAAGGGGCGCTCACTGTTGTGAACGGTCAGTCTGTGCTGCCTTAGATTCTGGTGATTGGAAAAGAGCTGAGAACACATGTTGCAGCTGTACTTCACTACAATAGTAATGCCGTGCTCGGTGCTCATGTGAGTTTGATATGGTTTCAAAAATTGAAATGTCTGATGACACTTGTCACACATGTAACTCTGAGGACTGCGTTTAGAAATATTCCTGGTTGATCTTTTCAACTCATTACTATCTGAACCTTCAGGCTCCTCATGCATTCCATCTTCTTCTTCCTCCAGATGTAATTTCTTGATCACTATTCGTGTTTCTGGGGAATCTGTCTGGTTCGTTTGACCTGATGTACATTCATCATTTGGGCTAAACTCATCAGCAGTATCACTTTCTACCTCATTCACGTCCGTGCAGCGGCCAGTTGATTTGACCGATCCTATGCTTAGGTCAACAACAGCAATCGATTCTGTGACCTCTTTCATGTTCCCCCGCTGTATGCAGCACTCTCGTTGTGGCTGGCTAGTTTCAAAGGCCTTCTTTTTGGGTACTTTGTCCCAAAGTCTATTTTTTATTGGTGCAGTCATTATCCTAGACAAACTCCCCATCTCCAAATCATCGAGATACTGTTCTGTGTATTCCAATCAGTTTCTGATTTACCAGCAAGCTGGCACTCTTGGTAAGCATGCCCTTTCACATCAGGACTTTGTCTCAAAAGCTTTATCTTCAGATGTTCACAAGCTTCCACAAGATCCTTACACTCTAGTCTTTCAGCAACTTCTTGCATTCGATATACTTTCTGGGGCTCAATCTCCATTTTTGCTGTGTAGACAAATTCCAAAAAGGAGGTGAAATCCTCAGTGTAGACATCCTGCAAAGTGACTGTGGTTTTCTTTTTATCAGAAAGCTCGTCACTTAGGAAAATTTCCCTGAAGTAATTGCTAGACGCAGCGAGAACGGCTCTGTGAGCAGCAAACTCTTCTTGAACCCCAAGGTGCTCAGTATGGACAGTCACATCACACAGATGACCAAACTGATAGAAAGAGTGCAGTGCACAAAGAAGATTCGAAGCAGCAGCTTTCCATTCCATCATAACTTTGGGTGGATCCATCCTTTTGGAACAGGAAGAGAAAAATAAAATGAAACATGGGACATTTAAATAAATTACCACATTGTTAAAATGGGGTGGGGAGAGAGAGACGATGTTTCTAAATGAAATCTTCATCCCAGGGATAATTCCAATGTTCCACGATCCAGTAATTACTATTTTTAAAGTCTAAAGAATGGGTAATATTCCTTAAGAGATGATTATCAGAAATTTCCCTGCTCATTCCATAATGCCCACAATCCATTCTCCTTCCCCAATTGAGAAATGATGCTAGAATCGACTCGGTCGCCATCCATGATGGTTGTAACCAGAAACTTTAAGATCCAACTACTTGTACTAATATAGCATCTTTCATGTCGAAAAATGTCTTGGAAGTGCTTCACAATGACAGAGTAGATAACAGAATGTAACAGGAGCAATAAAAGCAATTTACAAGTGCCTGCTACTCTGATTTTCCCCAACCATGGGTTGCTTCCTGTAACAGAATGATGGAATTAGAACCTCAATGTGGGGAAACCCTCAGTACATGCGTGGGGGGGGGGGGGTTGCCCTCTTATTTTCTCCCCTTAACTCCTCTTCTGATGACAGCAGAACAAATTGGGATACAATTCCATGAGCAGAAACAGCCCTCAAGTATCTCACCCAAATGACTACTCTTCTTGAAAGATGCTAGTTTGTCTTCTGAGTGACCACAACAGCCAAGTTTCAGTCTATTTGTAACTGAATGTTTACAGATGTTAACTTCCCAGAGATCACTAGACAGTTATTGAGAGCAGGAATCCCAGATGACTTTCCCCTCTTTAGTCTCGGATGATACGGCCAATTGTAACACCCAAAACAACAATTTGCATTTATACAGTGTCCTTCACACGGGGTAACGTCCCAGAACGTTGACCAATGGCAGACTTTGTCACTGATCTTGGAGAAAAGGGAGGTGACCAAAGGCATAGTCAAAGAGGAAAGTCTTTAGATGTGATTTGAAGACAGGTAAAGAGAGGGAAGGCAGTGGTATTGACAGAGAGTTCCATAGGTTTGGGCTGTTGTAGCTGAAGCACAGCCGCAGATGGTGAATCGCACAGGTCGGGGGAAGATGGCTGAGATTAGATCACGTATCAAAGGATTGAATTTAGGAGATCTGTTGTTTGCATGCTATTTATTCAGCCACTGACCCAAGGGGCAGTCTAGCCAGAAATATTTGTTTTAAAATGCGTCTGTGGTCAAGATAAATAACTAAGTATCTATGGTCAAGATAAGCAACAAACTATAACATAATGGGGCAAGAGCAGTCAAAGAGGAACAAGTAGATGAGTAGAATACAACATTAGAATAACTTTTTTCTAAAAATGTAATTTTAATGTGCCTTCAGCCCTCCTGAGAAATACATTTTTCTTAAATAATTAGGGCACTGATCTATTGACTTACTAGGTCCTGTCTCATTCTATGTGGACTCAAGGTCCAACAGTGATACACAGCACAGTGTGTTTAGGAAGTCAGTTGTATAACATGTCATTTCAGTCCTCAGGCTGCAATCTATTTAGCTCATTCACATCACAAAATGACAGCCCCGATGGGGCACGAGTTCTATTTTACACTTAATTTAAATCAGAATTCAAAGATATTTTAATATACTTCAAATTGGCCAATTCTTTGCAGGAGGATTACATTATTAGCAATTCTACCAACAAGACTGGAGTCCTGTAGCTCAGTGGTTAGAGCACTCGCTTTGCAAGCGAGAGACCTGAGTTCAATTCCAGGCAGAGGGCGAAACGTTGGACACGTTTCCTTACTCCACACAGAGCCTAATAATAATCCCTCCAAAACCAAAAACAATAATAAATTGGTCATTTTCAATCTACGACTGTTTGTGGGACACTGCTGTGCGCAATTGGCTGCCGCGTTCGCCCACAAATATACTGTCAATTCACTTTACAGTGTGTTCTGTGAAGCACTTTGGGACGTCCTCCTGACATGAAAAGCGCTATATCAAATGCAAGGATTAGGATTATTAAGACTGAGTTAAATATAGCTAAATAGAAACATTAGCATTTACCTTGTTATTAGAATATATGAACCAGCAACTTTGAAATCAGGAGTGTTTTAATGCATAATAATGGTTCTGGACCAGCATCCCACAATTATTATTTTTCAAATTTTGGTCTTTTTAGAGGGGTTCCCAAAAAATTACAAAACAAAAATTGGGCTGAATTGGGACCTTGTTCAAGGTCCATCTCAAGACCTTCCTCTTTCACCTCGCATTTGGCCATCTTTCCCCTCCTAACCTCCATCCTCCAAGTCCCACACATAGAATCAGTGCCAAGCCAGTATAGTTTGGGATGCTCTCTTGATGTGAAAGGCACTAAATTTGCATTGTACTATATAAGAAATGACAAAGATACTAAAAAAGTTACCATTTCTTCCCCTAAAACATTATTTTAATCTTTTATTTCTCTGTGCTTTTACTCATTTTAATTTGGTACCATAGCTACCATTCAATTCACTTTTCTATCTAATTTTGGCATTACCTCCCACTATTTTTCTGACTTGTTTCTTTTTAGTGTTATTTTCTCAATATTAAAGATAAACATGCAGATAAAGTATGAAACAAAAATAGATCACATCGTAACTACCAAATTAAAGAAACTGAACTTGAAACAAAGGGCAGACAGAAAATCTGTTTTTGCTTTCATGTGCACTTTAGTAATAATTTAGTTCTATTTGGGGTTTCTAGCTATGAATCACTTGATGCAGTACTTGTGATCCAGATAGCTTCTCTGGAGGCTCAGTTACAGTTGTAGTGTCCGAAGCTTATTTTCTTCTCTTCATAGAATATTGTTATATTTTGTTTGGAATTTCCTTGGGGATACAGTTATGAGTCTGATGTGACCTTCACATGGGGTTAAACAAACTTTTAATAGTTCTCCTGACATGAAAAATGCTATATAAATACAATCTGTTGTTGTTGAGTATAGGGGAGCTGCAAGTCGCATACAAAGCATTGTGCATTATCACATGGTTATACCATCAGGCCACAGAAATTTCTGAAGATGTTTCATGGGAAACTCCCTGCTCGCCGGACTTCCCAACTCTTCCCTCCATACTATACCAACCTGCAGCTTCTCTACTTGACAAGCCTTACCCACCAGCGGCAGTCGGACCTTCAGCCTTTCTGCTCCCACCCTCTGCAACTCCATCCGGAATCCCTTCACCTTGCCTCCTTCAAGTCCCATCTCTTCACTCAGAGGGTAGTGAATTTAAGGCTGTAGGTGCTCAGTCATTGAACATATTCAAGACTGAGATTGACAGATTTCTTAAAGGATAAAAGGATTAAGGGATATGGGGATAAGGCGGGCAGATGGAGTTAGGTTAGAAGATCAACCATGATCTTATTGAATGGCGGGGAAGGCTTGAGGGGTCGAATGGTCTACTCCTGCTCCTAATTCCTATGTTCCTAAGACCTTCCTCTTTGACCGTGCCTTCAGTCAATGTCCCAGCCAACCGCTTTTGATTCCAACCCCCAGCTTGGGTGCAAAACCTTGACTGTCCAGCTCCTTGGGACGTCTTCCTGACATGAAAGATGATATATAAATGCAACTTGTTGTTAAGTCTAGATCAGGGATGCATGCATAATGCAGTCTGCAAATTGTCCATCCCTGGTCTAAAGCAAAGTGCATCTAATCCTATGGTGTGTGATTGAATGTAGGGAATGCTGAAGTAGCATTTTTTCTCAGGTATAATCTCCACTAGGTCACTTGATTCCAATATTCCCCTAAGTCAGAAGACTGTATGCTTTTCTCATGCAGAGAAGTGGGTGGTATCCACCGAGGGAAAAAGTAACACAGAATAGTATGTAGAGATGGTTTAATATTCTCCCTATCCAACTGTTCAAATAGGTTGTCACATTTCCACAATACCTGGGTGATGCGCCATGTTACAGCACTTAGGCATACAGAACAAGACAATCCCACATTCAGTTTGTGCTAAACCAATTGTTCCAGCTTAGGGGTTGAAGAGAGGCACTGTAATATTTGGTTTCCATATGACTGAAATTTCAGGGGAAAAGTTTTAGTTATCCTGCTTATTAACTCCTGGCATGAAGTATAGTTGGAAGAAGACAGGATTAGGAAGAACACTATTGTACAGTATTTGTTTTTGAAATTAATTTTCTCTTCCTTGCTCTTACACATGGATTCAGTGACCATCTGAACTACAGTGAGTTATTAAAACTGCAAATTGCTTGTTTTTATTTTAAATCCCAATTAGATCCCAATGGATGGTTGAGAGGAACTATGTGAATAAGTTAGATGAAAGCAGATGCAGCAATAGATTTTCTCACCTTTAAACATGGGTTGAAGAGTTGGACAAAAACTGTGAGATCACCATAGCCAATGAATCTACATGCGAGACCTAGGAAGAGGAACAGAATTGAAAAGCAAATAGAGTGAGACAATATGTTGCATTTAATACTATTTTATTCAGACTCATG